TCCAGCCGCATTCCGGAGATAGTTTCAGCAGTCACAACCCTCACTCCACTTGGTGACGAAAAAGCAGACCACCCCAGCCGCCAATGAGGGCAGTCCTGTCCATAAATGGGACAGCATCTCTAACCGTCCAATCAGTTTGAAACTGTAACCGCGCGCGCCCAAAGTGCCTTTGTAGTAGCCAATGAATAATTGCCAACTTCTTTCAAAGTTCCCGCCACTCGCGACCCTATAAGATGTCCCAGCTTCCTCTGTTCGGGGCTCTCGACCTCTGCCGTTGCATCGGTGCGTGTCGAGGGCCCGGTCTCGAGCCCGTATTAAACTCCTTTGTGCCCTTGCATCGGTTGTCTGTGTCCTTGGGGGCTGCACTGGTCGACGTGGGCACAACAACTGACAATATTTTTAGAAGAGTAAACTGGGCCTCCCCTGGTGGCGCAGCGGTTGAGCGCTGGGCTGCGAAGCTGTCCGCAGCCTCTGCAGCTCTGGTTCAATCCTTGGCCTCCTGAGAGGGTCCCACATGGTGCGACAGACCTCTCCTGTTGCGTCCGCTGCTCCCCTCCGCAGTGTATTTCATCAGTCTGCCTTTCCTGTTCCCCACTCTGGCTCTGGTGAATTCTCTCACCCTCCAGTGCTTCTGACTGTACCCAGTGCTTGTATAAATAAATAAATAAATCTTTAAAATAAATAAATAAAATAGTAAACTGAGGAAAAGGAATTTTAGAATAAAAGAGACTAAAGTCAAGAGTAAAGAAGTACTGGAAGAGGAACTGAAATTCTAAGAGTTAGATAACTGATTAACGACTGGGGCCGCCCTAGTGCCCAAGGGGTTAAAACACAGCTCTATGAAACTATCTGCAGCCACTGCTGCAGAAGTTCGATCCCCAGCCAAAGAGGTAATCCACAATGGTGAGGCAGACCTCTCCAGACTCGCCTGCTGCTCCCCTCAGCAGTGTATTTCAGTCAATCTGCCTGTTCTGCTCCCAGACACTGTCTCTGGTGAATCCTCTCACCCCACACACCTCTGGCCTTTACCCCAGTTCTTGTATGCATAAATAAATCTTTAAAAAATAAATAAAAATAGAAACAAAACACTCGTCCTAGAGAAGGAAGACCGAGAATTAAAAAACGTAAGTACAGGTTTTAACCTTAGAGTTCAGTAGTGGAATTTTTTCCTTTAGTTGAAAGCAGTACAGAGAGGGAATTATTAAGGACGCCTTTATCTTTTCCATAAAGGGGAGAAAAGGCTAGATATCTAATGAAAGGTAGGAAGTGACATTAAAGGCTTTAGCTCCCAGGGCATGTTAAAAGAAGATGACGGATTAGGTAAAGAATTACCAAAGGATTTCAAGAGCAAGCTGTGCTTGCAGAAATAGATTCTAGCCTTTTACCCAGGCAAGGGAAGAACAAGTGGTACTTCAGGAATGGTGAGGTCAGGAGAAGCTTTATTACTCATGCATGAGGTCCCAGACCTGGGTAGTCCCATAAGGTCTGAGTCCTGGACTACAGACAAAGTTTCTTTTATATATAACCACTTTACATCAATAACATTGGTTAGTTAGCATACAAATTCTTGACACAGGAAAAAGGGGAAGGATGCAGATCTTTGAGGATGGCTTGGGAGATCAATCAGCCTAGCAGGCTGCCAGACCTTGTTTAGACATGCTTATTAAGGAAGCAAACTTGTTATTTATTTTACATTTCCAGGTCTATGACTCTTTAACAGAGAAAGATTTCCTTTTCTTAGCAGTTCCCTTTCAGAAGGAATTCTTAACATTGTGATTAGTACATCAAACACTAGGTAAAATCCTCCCAAAAAAACATGCAGAAAGAGGGACTCATAGCATGTTTCAAACTGGCAAAACATGATGCAGTTGAAGCCCAAGAGGAAGAAGGAAATAATGTGAGGTACTGGTTAAGAGATTAGTTAAAATAACTACCAAAGAAGAGAAGGGAATAGAAGAGAAAGAATAAAAGACAGAAACTAGCCGAGCAATTCAAACTAAAAGGAATCAGAGTGAAAACTGAAGAGCAGGTTTGTGAGAATGGGAGAGAAATGAGGAGATTCTGGTCAGAGAATACTACTTTATTTTTTCTTTAAAGATTTATTTATTTATGCATACAAAAACTGGGGTGCAGGCCAGAGGAGCGGGCAGTGAGAGGATTCACCAGAGACAGAGTAGAGAACAGAACAGGCAGACTGACTGAAATACACTGCTGAGGGGAGCAGCAGGCTCGACAGGAGAGGTCTGCTGTGCCATGTGGGTTGCTCCCTGGCTGGCCAGAGATCAAATCATGCTACAGAGGCTGCAGACAGCTTCCCAGTGCTGTGCTTAAATGATTGCACCACCAGGGAGGCCCTGAGAACAATATTTAGGGGCTCCTTTCTATATTAATTTTCAAATCTACCTTGATCCTCTCCAAAATAAACTGGAAACTAAAATCTAGACAGACAGGGGATTGATATATAAGATTTCTGAACCACCTTTTTTTAATAATTAAGGAAAATTTTATTGAGGTATAGTTTGCATAAACTACATTTCTTAACCATTTCATGATTTTTTAATATTTATAAATAGCATTCAAAATACATTATGGAAAAATTTCTGTTCTTTCAATAGTTTGCATTTTATTATTGCTTTAGGAGGCAATTCTGTAAGTGAAATCACTGAATTAGAAGATATGAACACAATGCTTATGTAAATCATAGGTTAGAATGTATTTTTTTAAAGATTTATTTATTTATGCATACAAGAGCTGGGGTACACAGGCCAGAGGTCTGAGGGGGGGTGAGAGGATTCACCAGAGACAGAGTGGGGAACAGAACAGGCAAACTGACTGAAAATACACTACTGAGGGGAGCAGCAGGTGAGACAGGAGAGGTCTGCTGCATCATGTGGGTGGGTTGCTCCCTGGCCAGCTGGGGATTGAACTCATGCTGCAGAGGCTGCAGACTGCTTCAAAGTACAGTGCTTCACCTCTTGAGCCACCAGGGAGGCCAGAGGTTGTGTCTTAACCCCTTACACCACCAGGGAGGCCCTAGAATTTTTTTTTAAGCTTTTGTATATAGTCTAGTCAGACAATTTTCTAGAAAATTTATACCAACTAATATTTTCACCTATTGGGAATAAACTGGTCCAGGCACTATGGAAAGCTGTGTGGAGGTGCCTCAAAACACTGAAAATGGATCTGCCATATGATCCAGTGATACTAATCCTAGGAATCTACCAAAAGGACATAAAAACACGAATGCAAAAGGAAACCTGGACCCTTCTGTTTATTGCAGCACTACTTATAATAACTAAGATATGGAAACCACCAAAATGCTTCAAAATAGATTCAAGGATCAAGAAGATGCAGTATATGTACACGGTGGAATACTTTTCAGTGATGAAAAACATAAATTCATGCCATTCACAGCAGCATGGATGAAGCTAGAATGTGTTATGCTAAGCAAAATAAGTCAGAAGGAAAAAGATAAATATTGGATGGTTTCCTTTATATGTGGAATACAGAGAAATCAAACAAAGGGTCAGGAAAAAGACAAAACTTGCAAGATGACAAGAGACCTAATGCATACAGGAGGGAGGAGAGGGTTCAAAACAAGGAAGGGAAGAGCACAAGGTACTGTAGAGATGGATCATGTGTGCTATGCTGGTGGGAGAATTACTACATCTGAGGGTATAAATCAAATTAACAATATAAGAAAAGAAATTTAATTAATTAATTAAAAATTATTCCCACGTATAGTATAAGAAAGAGGGTACAAGCCAAGGAGTATTTCTTTCCTGTAGTTTTATAAGAAGAAATTGACAAGTTACTTATACATGCACATTATAAAAAGTGGAAAAATTGATACTGTTCATTGTATAGATCATTTACATATATGTATCTGTGGTATTTCTCTTTATATCCTTTGTCCACTTTTTTAAAACTGGGAGGTTAGTATTTTGGGCACATTTGTAAGATCCAGTTACATGCTAAAAAAATTTTAAAACATTTTTGGTTAACAGATACTGAAACTATTTTTCCCTGAGTTTTGTCTTCATTTTGCATTTATTGATGCACTAAGGATTTTTTAAAATTTTTTTATTTTTATATTCCCCATACAATTGCACCCCCTTATTTTGATCCCAATCCCTCCTTTCCCCACCCCTGCCCCCCATAGTGTGTCTCTGGTTCATAGTTGTTTGTTGATTTTGATTTTTTCTTTCTTATAGTTATTCTTTTTCCTGGTCCCTTATTTAAGTTTTCTAGATTCCTGCTATGAGTGAGACCATCCAGTATTTTTCTTTTTCTTTCTGGCTTATTTCACTGAGCATGATCTAGCTCCATCCATGTTGCTGCAAATTGCATGAGTTCATCTTTTTTGATTGCTGAGTAATATTCCATTGTGTATACGTACCATATCTTCTTGATCCAGTCATCAATTTTTGGGCATTTGGGTTGTTTCCAAAGTTTAGCTATTGTAAACAGTGATGCACTAAGGATTTTAATACAAGTCTATCGATCAACCTACCTAGTAAACCTATCAATTTTTTTCTTTCAGCAGCAGAAGCAGACAGGATTTCTTAAGGAAAAAAACTCATTTATCTTTCCACAGTTGTTTTCTACAGTGTCTACTTAGTAACTCAAATTTAAACATGGTATGAATCAAAACAATTGTTTCTGAATAAAAAGATTATTATATCAGAATATATTAATATGCAAAGAGTTTTAAATGTCTTTTATTTTAGTGCTATCTTGGTATCACTTATCCTCTAAAGAAAGCCTCTTATAAGCAAAAGAGTACTTTATACACTATAATCAAAGTAAGTTCATTGAAGAATGAGAATGAAAAATATAACGTACATGCATCCTTGCAAATCTGAAACATGTACAATAAGAGAAACACATGAAAAAGATCTGGAACATTTTCTACCACATCATCACAGATGAGTGGCATCCCATAAAGGCTGTAAGTGTAAACTACCAAATAAACTCAATCTAAGGAAGACAATACTTACTATTCCAGAACTAGGATGATTTCTGATGGAGTTTCATAGACTTCATGTAAATTAATGACCCAAGGATTGTCCTCTGCTAGTTCAAGTACAGCAATCTCATGAATTATTTCCATCCGGCAATCTTGGCCTTTTCTTCTTTTTCTCATGAACTTTGCTGCAAATTCTTTTCCAGAATCTTTCTTTATACATTTCCTCACTACTGCAAATTTTCCCCTAAAGTTGACAAAAACATTTAATGTTAAAGTTGGCAACTTTGCAGAGGTGGTGAATTTTAATAAAATTTCCACAAAAAATTTCAGTGAGTATTCAAAAATAGGTCATATTCAAGCACAAAAGTAGCACTATCACTTAGGAATTTATATAGAATAAACCTAGAATCAAATCAAATAAAATTTATATCTGCAAAATTCATTATAATAAGCAATTAAAATGAATATATTGCAGCTATACATAAAAATAACTTATTTTGTGGGACAATTATACATAAAAATGATTTAAAGCTTTAAAAGGTCATGACTTTTTAAAGATTTATTTATTTATACAAGCACTGGGTACAGTCAGAAGTGCAGGAGGGTGAGAGAATTCCCCAGAGCCAGAGCGGGGAACAGAACAGGCAGAGTGACGAAATACACTGCTGAGGGGAGTAGCGGGCGGCAGAAGTCTGCGCACCATGAGGGACCCTCGCCGGCGGCCAGAGATTGAACTGGCGCTGCAGAGCCTGCGGGCAGCTTCGCTGCCCAGTGCTCAACCGCTGCGCCACCAGGGAAGGCCCAAAAGGTCATGACTTTTTAGAAGACGTTTATTACCAGATATGCTAAAATGAATTTCATAGTCACTAACTTTAAAACACTATTATTACCTTTCAAAATTATAAAAGGAATCTCATTTATATATCATTTCAGCTATAGCATCAGCTGAAAATATTGTTTTCCTAAAGAGATATATACAAGCATTAGTTTTATACTCTATACTACCATTTGTTATTAAAGTTATAAGCAAAAGTCACACAGGGGAATCAGTTTAGCATATTAAGGGTAAAAGCTCTGGAATTACACAGATAGGGGTTTGAATCCCACAAACGGCACTGCTGCTCAATTGACACATAACCTCGGACAATTTACTGAACATCTTTAAGTTTCATTTCCCTTTTCTGTATAAGAGGACATAATCTATTTCACATGACTGTTGTGAGAAAGAATCACTTGATTACAATCAAGTGCTTAGTATGATACATGCCACATGTTGAGTGCTACTGTTAATCAAACAAATCGTTAAGTTGTGATATCAACCATACGTTGAACCATCCATTCAACCCTACACTGAAAGGCAACTTAGAAATCAGTTTTTTAGCAAATGCCAATGCTAAGCTGTAGGGTAAGGAAAAAGTATCAGGCTTTTCTGCCCTCCCAACATCAGGATAAATGAGGGAACCCTGTGGTCCTGAATGCATGCCTGATGGCGGGCACCTGAAGTGGGTACACCTGGGCTGAGAGACTGAGTTTATAAGGGCAGCGTCAAGGGGATGCCAGCAGAAGCCAAGAACAAACGGAAGCCGAGGAAGAAGAAGAGAAGCACAGAAAACACCAGAGAGAGCCCAGAGAGAGTGAGAATTTGCTGGGGGCTGGGAGGATTGCCAGCCTCCCAACCCTCCAGCACCCCTGCCTGCCAAATGCCTGGGAAATCTAAATAAAAGACCTGCAAAAGCCACTGAGGGTTCCAGGACTCCTCCTTTATCAGGTCTGCTGGATCAGAAAACCTGCACTGTGTCCATTCCTGCCTCTACATAAGCCTTCTTTCAAATTGTGAGGGAGTCTCTTCCACTCCTGGGCACACACTGTTAATGAGGTTTTTATTACAAATCTAAACCAGACTTCAGGTGTAGAGATAGAGTTTGGGATTACATTAAGTACAGAAGGACTTTTCCAAATGTCAGTAACAGGAGCTAAACCCACTAACATAATCTTTGAACCTCCACACACTTTTCCAATTTTCAATGATCCCTCACCCCCATAAGGGTGTAGAAGATCTCTCCATGGGCTCCCTTGGTGGCGCAGGAGGTTAAGCGCAGTGCTGTGAAGCTGTCTGCAGCTTCTGCAGCGCCAGTTTGATCCCTGCCGGCCTGCGAGGGTCCCACATAGCGCAGCAAACCTCTCCTGACTGTTCCGCTGCTCCCTTGGGCAGTCAGTCACCTCCTTCAGGTGAGGTTAAACAAATAAATCCCATTATTGCTGTTCTCTGAGCCTGAGTACTCCTGCAATTATGTGCATGGGTAAAGAACTCACACAGTGACTGGTAAACTATTTGGGCACTATCCTTGGCCAGTTTTAGTGCCCCTTATTGCCCAGTATCATTTTCACTATATGACTGATCAAAACTGCTGATAAAATGTGTCAACCAAATCTGAAGCAACCACTCCAAGTATAATGTGGTTAAAGAATTACAGAATTATTAGTTGGCTCAACTTGGCACAGGACTAATGTTTAAAAAGCACTAATATTGGTTTTTTTTGTAACTTGATGGTTTTCATTTTTCATACGGTGCTATAAACTACCTAGATCTTTATCTTCACGAATTTTTGCCAAGCCAGTATAGTCATACTGTATTTTCAAAAAAATAAAAATTAAAATTAAGTGAAAGACTTTAATTACTAAATTCTAATTTCTAAGGTTTAGTCCAGCATTCTAGACTGCTGACATAATTTTGAGTACTAATTCTTCTTTTCTAGATACTTAACCACAAATATGATTATCATACTGTCCATATTTTTATTACCATTAGTAATAAAAACATTAAATGACAAATCTATAGGCATATCCTATTGCTATTCAATGAGGTAATAACCTATCAATATTTAACATATCCTTATTCAGATCAAAGGTCATTTTGCTCACAGAAATGTGAAAGGCTGTAGAAGACAGATACTGCAGATACTAAATACTAAACATAGCTATGACAGACAAATCCTCTTATTTACTCCACAAAATCATCTCTATCTATCAAGTTCTAAAAGATTATTAACGCTCTTTGGATTCTTTTCAGCAAGAAAAATATCATTAATAATTTGATTATCTTATATCGACCTGCCAAAGAATGCTTATTATCCACAAAACAGAACTTTTACTTCCTGATATTTCTAAACAATTCCTATGCACTGTTGCCACAGATAGGGGCCTATTTTGAGACTGAGTAGGTTTTCTTATGTTTGCTTTTTAGTCACAGATAAAACAACATTTACTGAGTTACACAATTGAGTTACACAATTGAGCCTCCCTGGTGGCACAAGGGGTTAAGACACAACCTGTGAAGCTATCAGCAGCCACTGCAGCACCAGTTCACTCCTCAGCCAGGGAGAAGACCCACTTGGCGCAGCAGACCTCTCCTGACTGGTGCGCTGCTCCCTTCAGCAGTGTATTTCAGTCAGTCTGCCTGTTCTGTTCCCCACTCTGTCTCTGGTGAATCCTCTCATCCTCCACACCTCTGGCCTGTACCCCAGCTCTTGTATGCGTAAATAAATAAATCTTTAAAAACAAAAAAAAATAAATAATAAAGGCATTAAACTTCTCCACACTGAGAAAGGGAACCCAAAAACCAAGCACATTAATTTTATTTCTGTTTTAGGCTTTTACATCAACTAGTCATCTAACTGCATTGTTCTGCTGCTCAGGAATTATTTGTGGAGAAATTTCTATCATAAAAGATAGGAAGTCACTGGGCCTCCTCGATGGCTCAGCGGTTGAGCACCGGGTTGCGAGGCTGCCCGCAGCCTCTGCAGCGCCGGTTGGATCCCCGGCTGCTCCCCGGCCACCAGAGGAGGGTCCCACATGGCGCGCAGACCTCTCCTGCCGCCCGCTGCTCCCCTCAGCAGTGTACTTCGGTCCTTCAGCCTGCTCTGCTCCCCGCTCTGGCTCTGATGAATTCTTTCACCCTCCAGCGCTTCTGACTGTACCCAGTGCTTGTATAAATCAACCAATCAATCAATCAATAAATCTTAAAAAAAAAAAAAAGGAAGTTATCACAACCTTCAAATAAATAAAAACCTAATAAGGAAGCTAACTTTATAATAGAGGTTAAAAACCAAAGTTAAAAGGTACCTGCCTGGAGAAACGCAGTATCGCAACACCAGGTAGGGTGCAAATCAGTTTTTTCAGATTAAATCACTTGTTTTCTAATATCAGTTTTCCTTTTGTGTAATGAAGACAAACAACTCAACCAAATAATGGAGAGTTTCAATTTTCTTTCTTCCATAAACCTAAGTTTCTTCAGAATGGTTGGAATTTTGACAAATCAGAATGTTAGCTGTGTCAGCAGCTGTCAATGTCTTCTTTTGTCATAAAGTGACACAGACCTAGTTGATTAGATACTTTTCCTTTTTTTAACACTTGCAATAAGACATTTTTAAGATAGGGTCCCCTCTCCCACCAAATCCCAACGATTTCTAAAAATTACTTTATGTTTGTAAAACGGTGCATTTTTAACATTATTTGGCTCTTTCCAAGACCCCAAATGAAAGCTATCATAGTGTCAGGCCCTTTCCCCATTACTTACAACATGGAGCTAATTTTGTAACCACAACAAACGTTTGCAGTAACAGCTAACATTTACTGCAATTTATGTGTCAGGTCCAGGGCATGCGATTTACAGGCCTGACATCTTCACAACTGCCACATGAAATATGCACTGTCATCAAACTGGTTATGCATGAGAAACCTAAGGTTGGGGAGTCTAAGTCCCCACCCAAAGGCACACATAGCAAGCAGGGCAGGGATATGAGCACAGGTCTGACTCCAAAGCCAGCTCTTTGGACGACTTCTCCTAACTGTTCTCAAGGAAAAGGGGAATCAGTACCCCAGCCCTACAGAAATCAACGTATCAAGGCACCTCAATGCACAAAACGTAAAGTACCCAAAGCGCAACTATCACAGAGACCAAATTTAAATTCTCCCTGCCACCACACAGAAGAAGACAAGGGGCCGCTCTGGGCAGACAGGGCAGGGGGAGGAGAGGGAGGGAGCGGGAGAACCAGAGACAGAGACAAGGCCGAGGGCGTGTGAATGAAACCAACCTGAACTTGAGGCTCAGGGACCTAAATCACTTGGAACTAACATAGCACGAAAACTGAAAATTCAGTCAGCAGAGTCGGCCGGCGTTCCCCCGGCGCTGGCACAAAGGAAGCCGTCGTGCCGAACGTTCTCTCTCATTCCGGTCGCGTGAAGAGACGAGACACCCGACGCGCGCACACAACGCCGACGCTCGGTCTCCAGTTTTATTTCAGACTCGCTTCCCACCGAGAACGCGCAGGACGCGCTCCACGCGCCGGCCTCGCGCAGCCGCCGGGCTGACGCCGCGGCCGCCGGAGTCACGGGCCGCCGGTCTCTCGGGGAGGCGCTTCCGCTGCCGGGAGGGCCGCCGCGGCCCGGTCACCCGCCCCGGGAGACTTTCTCCCCCGCGCCCCAGAGGCGAGCCACACTCTGGCGGGCGCTGGGGCGGCGTCGTGGCCGGGCGACTCGGCCCGCAGTGCCTCCCGCTCCCGGGCCTGCGTCGGTGCCCCGGCGCCGGGGGCCCCGCCCGCCGCCCCCCCGCGCCGGCTCCCGCCCGCCGCCCGCCGCCCCGCCCGCCTCACCTGCCCAGCTCCCGGCCGGGGCTCAGGCTGTAGCCGTCCCGGAAGGGCTCGGTGCGCACCGCGGCGCGGATCGCGGTCAGGAGTCCGCGGGCCTGCGGCGAGGGCGGCCCGCGCGACGCGCCCGGACCCCTGCGGGTCGGTCCCGAGCCCGCGACGACCGTCGGCAGGAAGTCGCCGCCGCCCGGCGTCTCCTGCGGGATCATGGCGCTCGGGCGCGCCTCCTCTCCGGCGCCGGTCTCGCCGCGGGCTGCCGGTGGTAACCGTCCCGCCTCCGGCTGCCTCGGGCCGCTCGGCGGAGCTTCCTGCCACGGGCTGGGTCCCCGGCCGCGCGCAGACCGCGGCCGGCCGGCTCGGGGACGCCCCGCCCCGCGTCGGGCACCGCCCTCCGCGACCCAGCCCCTCTCTGAGCTCCCGGGGCGCTGAGCGCGCGCCCTCTGCAGCCGAGCGGGAGAAGGTGCAGCTTGGGGGAGCTCCTGGCGGCCCCACTTAGGTCTGCGTGCAGAACAGACTTGGGTGCACCTGTTGAGCATCTGAGATGAGCATCTGAGACTTACAAAACCTGTCTATTAATGAAACCCTCGGTTAATGAAAGGTATGTGAGCTACAGGACCCACTTACCCTTGCGTGGGAGGCAAGTGGTATTGGGAGTCTGATCCTGGCTACTATACAGCATGCTAGGAGGGGGGATTTCCCAGGGCTGCTGGTTCATTCCTGCAGTGGGAGCAGAGTCCTTTCTATACCTGAGAGGCTGCAGTTGGATAAATGTAATAAAGTCATCAGGGCCTCACTGGTGGCACAAGGGTTTAAGACGCAACCTATGAAGCTGTCCGCGGCCACTGCAGCACGAGTTCGATCCCCAGCCAGGGAGCACATGGCGCAGCAGACCTCTCCTGACTCGCCCGCTACTCCCCTCAGCAGTGTATTTCAGTGGGTCCGCCTGTTATGCTCCCCACTCTGTGTCTGGTGAATCCTCTCACCCCCGGCACCGCTGGCCTGTACCCCAGTTCTTGTATGCATAAATAAATAAATCATTTAAAAAATTTTAAAAATTAAAAAAATAATAAAGTCTTCACACCAGCCCTGCAGTCTTCTCTGCACTTAACTTTCAGAGTACGCTCCTCCGGTCTTATGACTTTAATTACATCCACGACTATAACATTTATATCTCTATCCAACTTCCAACCTTTTCCTAAACTTCAGACTCACATATTCATGTGTACACTTGTTATGTCCGGGTAGATGTCAAATTAGCATCTCAGTCTTGATATATATAAAAGTAAGTCTCTGATCATTTTCACAAATGCAGTAAGTAGAACTATCCTTCCAGTGTTCAGGCCAAAACACTTGGGACTAACACTGGTTCCTCTCTTAGCTTTCCCTTCAAAACATATCCAGAATCTGATCACGTCTTTCCCTTTCCACATTATCACAATGGGTTAAATCATCACAATGGATTAAATTATCATTTTCTGTTGTCTGAATTATTGTTACAGCTTGCTAATTAGTCTTCCTGCTTTTGTCTTTCTCCTCTCCAATATCGATCGAATAGCTTATTTTCAAAACATTCAGAGCAATCTTTTTAAAAATCTGAATCAGATTATGTCATTGCTTTCCTCAAAGTGTTCCAATAAAGATTTGCTCCTCACAATGGATGAGTAGTTCATCTGTGATAAAACTCTGAGAAAAAGTTAGCAAAATTATTAAGACAGAAGTCCTCTGCTTGAAACAACAGAGTTTCAAAAATGTCAAGGACTTGGATGATTAAGATTCTGGAAAAATGAGAACCCTCATTTTGCATTTGATGTTTTTAAAGCAATGACTGAAGAAAGTAAGAGAAAGTAAGCAGAGCTTCAGCCAATTTTAGGACTATAAAGACAAAAATTTGGGGTTTAGGACCTACTAGCTCTACTAGGAAGAGCTAATAGACATTTAAACTTTCAGTTGGCACCCTGAAGGGTCACATTATTGGAGCATCTGTAAAAGGGAAATTGACCAGTCCTCACAAAGACTAAAAAATAGCATCAAAATGCAAGAGTAGGGACCTTCCTGGTGGCGTAGCGGGTTGAGTGCAGCACTGTGAAACTGTCCACAGCCTCTGCAGCTCAGGTTCGAAGCTATCCCCAGCCTCTGCAGCGTGGGTTCGATTCCTGGCCGGCCAGAGACATTCTCACATGGCACAGCAGACCTCTCCTGTCGTGCCGGCTGCTCCCCTCAGCAGTGTATTTCGGTCCTTCTACCTGTTCTGCTCCCCGCTCTGTTCTGGTGAATCTTCTCACCCTCCCGCCCTCTGGCGTGTACCCCAGCTTTTGTATAAAAATAAATAAATCCTTTTTAAAAATGAAATAGTAAATCCTCTCTCAAGGAAAACAACATTATCCAGAGCCACATGTTTTTTTTTTTTATGCAACACTTCATCACAATTTAAAAAGGAACACTCAAAAATAATTATCTTAAAAACTAAGATAAAAAAGACAGAAATAATAAGAAGCAAATTAGTACATGGAAAACCCAGATATTGAAGTTTAAAGACAGATTTTTAAGATAATTATTTTTTAATATCTTTGAGAAATTAAATATCAAAATAGTGATTTGAGCAGAGAACTAAGAATTCCAAAAAATGAAATGAAAATTTTTCAATTAGTGGAAAATATACCAACTAAACCATGGCATACTGCATGGCCTAATAAACACAATTTAAGAAAGAATTGGTGATTTTTAAAAATATTTTATTTTATATAATACTTTAATCATTTTCATTTTTGCACAATGTATGCATTTTCATTTTGGTTATGTTCCCCATACAATTGCACCCCCCCTTATTTTGATCCTAATCCTTCCTCACCCCGCCCCTCCTCCCACAGTGTGTCTCTGGTTTATAGTTGCTTATTGATTTTGATTTTTACTTTGTATTAATTAGTCTTTTTCCTGGTCCCTTATTTAGGTTTTCTAAATTCCTGCTATGAGTGATACCATCTGGTATTTTTCTTTTTCTTTCTGACTTATTTTGCTGACCATGATCCCTTCTAGCTCTATCCATGTTACTGCAAACTGCATGTGTTTATCTTTTTTGATTGTTGAGTAATATTCCATTGTGTATATGTACCACATCTTTCTTTTTTATTTTATTTTTATATTGCCCATACAATTGCAACCCCCTTATTTTGACCCCAATCCCCCCTTTTTCTGCACCCCCATAGTGTGTCTCTGGTACATAGTTGTTTGTTGATTTTGATTTTTTTCTTTCTTATAGTTATTCTTTTTCCTGGTCCTTATTTCGGTTTTCTAGATTCCTGCTATGAGTGAGACCATCTGGTATTTTTCTTTTTTTTTTTCTGGCTTATTTCACTGAACATGATCCCTTCTAGCTCCATCCATGTTGCTGCAAATTGCATGTGTTTATCTTTTTTGAATGCTGAGTAATATTCCCTTATGTATATGTACCACATCTTGATCCAGTCATCTCTTTTTGGGCATTTGGGTTGTTTCCAAATCTTAGCTATTGTAAATAGTGCTGCTATAAACATAGGGGTGCAGGTGCTCTCTGGAATTGATGTTTCTGTATCCTTTGGGTAAATACCTAGGAGTGGAATTGCTAGATCATATGGAAGCTCTATGTTTAGTAGTTCAAGAAATCTACACACAGCTCTCCATAGTGGTTGGACCAGTTTGCACTCCCACCAGCAGTGCAGGAGAGTTCTCTTTTCTCCACATCCTTGCCAATATTTGTTGTTGCTAGATTTTTTAAATATATCATTCTCGCTGGTGTCAGAAGGTATCTAATTGTGGTTTTGATTGGTATTTCCCTGACTGCAAGTGATGTTGAACATTTTTTCATATGCCTGTTGGCCATTTGTATTTCCTCCTTGGAGAAATTTCTTTTTAACTCTTCTGACCATTTTTTGACTGGATTATTCTCTTTGTTTTTGTTGAGACTCGTCAGCTCTTTGTAGATTATTGTGATCAGTCCTTTATCATTAGTGTTGTGTGCAAAAATGTTCTCCCAGTCGGTGGAGTTTCTCTTTGTTTTGGTTATTGTTTCTTTTGCTGTGCAGAAGCTCTTTAATTTGATGCAGTCCCAGCTGTTTATCTTTGCCTTCACTATTACTGCTTTGGGTAATGTGTCTGTAAAGATGTCTTTGAGGTGCATGTCATGTAGTGCTTCGCCTATATTTTCTTCTATATATTTTATGGTTTCAGGTCTTATGCCTAGTTCTTTAATCCATTTTGAGTTGGCTTTTGTGCATGGTGTGAAGTAGTTGTCACGTTTTTGCATTCTTTTGCATGTAGTGACCCAGTTTTCCCAGCATTTTTACTGAACAAATTTTCTTTGCTCCAGTGCATATTCTTTACTCCTTTGTCAAAAAGATCAGTTGACCATAAATCTGTGGGTTTATTTCTGTGTTTTCTATTCAGTTCCTTTGGACCTTGTGTCTGTTCTGGTTCCTTCCAATGCCATGCAGTTTTGATTACTATGGCTTTGTGGTATAGTTTGAAATCTGGGAGAGTGATGCCTCCATTCCCTTCCTTTTTTTAAGGAGGGTTTTGGCTATTCGGGGTTTTTGGTGGCTCCATATGAATTTCATCAATATTTTTTCTATTTCTTTGAAGAATGACATTGAAATTTTAATTGGAATAGCATTGAATCTGTAGATTGCTTTTGGCAGGATGGCCATTTTGATAATGTTAATTCTTCCAATCCATGAGTAGGAGATGTCTTTCCATTTCTTTGTGTCTACTATTTCTTTTAACAGTATTTTATAATTTTCTTTGTATAGGTCCTTTACTTCTTTTGTTAGGTTTATTCCCAGGTATTTGATTTTTTTTTTTTTGTTTCAATAATAAAAGGAATGGTTTTCTTGATTTCTTCTTCAGATTTATTGTTTGTGTATAGGAAGGCTACTGATTTTTGTGCATTGATTTTGTATCCTGCCACTTTAGAAAACTGATTGATTAGTTGAATTAGTTTTTCTGTGGAATTTTTGGGGTTTTCTATGTATATTATCATATCGTCAGCAAATAGTGATAGTTTCACTTCTTCCTTGCCTATTTGGATTCCTTGAATGTCTTTCTCTTGTCTTATTGCTCTGACTAGGACTTCCAGTATTATGTTGAAAAGCAGTGGACATCCCTGTCTTGTTCCAGATCTTAATGGGAATACTTTCAGCTTTTCTCCATTGAGAATGATATTGGCTGTGGGCTTGTCATAAATGGCCTTTATGATGTTGAGGTATGTTCCTCGTATCCCAAGAATTTCAAGGGCCTTTATTATAAATGGGCGTTGCACTTTGTCAGAAGC